GATCTTGGCTGAAAGCAGAGAATAGCAGAAAGATGTTTACTTGTGTTTTATTGACTCTGAAAAGGCATTCAACTGTGTGGATCATAACAAACTGCAAATAACACTGAGACAAATAAGAATTTCAGAACACTTAATTGTGCTCACAGGTAATCTGTACATAGAACAAGAGGCAAAGGATACTTTGTGTTTTAGAATCAGGAAAGGTCTGTGTCAAGGTTGTATTCTTTTACCATACTTATTCAATCTGTATGTTGAGCAAATAATATAAGCAGACTATATGAAGAAGAACATGGCATCAGAAGTAGAGGAAGACTCCTTAACAACCAGTGATGTACAGATGACACAACCTTACTTGTTGAGAGCGATAAGGACTTGAAATACTAACTGATGAAGATTAAAGACTACAGCCTTCAGTTTGGATTACACCTCAATTAAAAAACAAAAATAAAATAAACTGAAACCCTCACAAATGGACCATAAACAACATCATGATAAATGGAAAAAAGAATAAAGTTGTCAAAGACTTCATTTTATTTGGATCCACAATCAATGGCTCATGAAGTATAAAATGGCATATTGCACTGGGTAAATTTGCTGCAAAAGACCCTTTAAATTGTTGAACAAAAATATCGCTTTGAGAACTAAAGTGCACCCAAGCCATGGTATTTCACTCACCTCACATACATGTGAAACTTGGAAAATGAAAAAGGAAGACTGGAGCAGAAATGACACATCTGAATTATGGTATTGGCAAGGAAAACTGAATATTCCATAGGCTGCCAGAAGAACAAACAAATCTTCTTGGAAGAAATACAGTCAGAATGCTCCTTCTAAGCAAGGATAGTTTAAGACTTTGGATATGTTATCAGGAGAGACCATTCCCTGGAGAAGGACATCATGCTAGGTAGAGTGTCAAAGAAAAAGAGAAAGGCTTTCAGTGAGATGGGCTAACACAGTGACTCCAACAAGGGGCTCCAACATAACAATCCTGAGACTGGCAGAGAAACGGGCAGTGCTTCAGGGTGTTATACAGAGGGTCCCTATTAGTTGGAATCAACTCAACAACACCTAACAACTACTACAATTTAATCTGTATACTTGTCAAACCAGCAATTCTCAGTATCTATTTTAAAGAAATATTCACAGACGCACAAAGAGGTGGGTATACTGCTGCGCACTGCTTAAAACAATAAAAGGAGTCCTGGTGTGACACTGTAGGTAAATGTGCTGGACTGCAAAGTCTGTTTGAACCGCAAGGTCAGAAGTTCAAGCTTACCAGCCGCTCCTCAGAAACACTATACAGGGTCATTATGAGTTAGAACTAACTCAATGGCACCTAATAATAATAATATATCAATAAAAAAAATTACAAACAATCTAAATGCCAATCAGTAGGAAAATTGTTAAATTACATTATGTAGCAATTGAACATTATGCAGCAATTGAGAAGAGTAAGCTAGATATTTGCTAACATGAAAAGCAAACATAATGCCCAGAAGAAAAACGAAATACAAGAACTAGGCGACTATTGACACAAATTGTGGCTACTGTGGAATATCACTCAGTAAGAATAAACTACTGATATATGCAACATATATGAACAAAGACGAATCTCAAAATTACTTACGTTAACCAAAGAAAACAGAGCATAAAGAGTATAAAATATATGATTCTATTTCTATGCAATCCAAACTATAAACAATTCTAGTCCACGGTGATAGAAATCATTTACTAGTGTAGGAGAGGTGGCTGGACTGGAAAGGGGCAGAAGGGAGCTTTCTAGGAGAATGTAAAAGTTATATATCTTATTTTGGAGGCTGGTGACATTATTGATGTTAGGTGCCATCAAGTCGGTACTGACTCACAGCAACCGTAAGCACAGCAGAATGAAACACTGCCCGATCCTGGGCCAACCTCACTACTGTTGCCACGCTTGAACCCATTGATGCTGCCACTTTGCTAATCCATCTCATTGGGGGTCTTCCTCTTTTTCTCTGACCTTCCACCTTAGCAAACATAACCTTCTCCAGTGACTGGTCCCTCCTGACAATATGTCCAAAGTATGAGAGACAAAGTTTAGCCATCCTGGCCTCCAAGGAGCACTCTGGCTACGCTTCTTCCAACACAGATCTGTTGGTTCTTTTGGCTGCCCATGGCATTTTCAATATTTTCCTTCAACACCATAACTCAAAAGCATCAATTCTTCTATGGTCTTCCTTATTCACTGCCCAGATTTCGCAGGCATATGAGGTTACTGAAAATACCATGGCTTGGGTCAGGCGCACCTTAGTCCTCAAGCTGACATCTTTGCTCTTCAACACTTTAAAAAGATCTTGTGCAGCAGATCTCCCTAATGTAATACATCGTTTGATTTCTTGACTGCTACTTCCATGAGTGTTGATAGTTGATCCAAGAAGAATGAAGTCCTTGACAACTTCAATCTTTGGTGACATGGATATACACAATTGTAAAACCCAGGGCATTGAACTTAAGATCTGAGCATTTTATTGCATGTTCATTTAAAAAAATAAAAAATAAAAATCAGCTGCCAAGGGATAAGCAGCCCTGATGGACAGTAAAGCCCTCAGTAGTTGCTAACCAAAAGGTCAGCAGTTCAAATCCACCAGCAGCTCAGCAGGAGAAAAGACGTGGCAGCATGCTTCTGTAAAGATTGATAGCTTTGGGAACCTTACAGGACAGTTCTACTCAGTCCTACAGAGATAATAGGAGTTGGAATTGATGTCAGTAGTTTGGTTTGGTTGGGTCCTAGATAAGGCCCAAACTCCTAAGGTACAGAAGGTCCTAACCTCTTTCTCTCTCTCTAAACCAGTCTCCTCTTTGAACTCGATGTGTTTAATCCAGCAATGCCCAAGATATTGGCTAGGTATCCCCAAGGGTAAGGTCAAAATTATTTTCAAAACACTACTATGATGTCATTTGCCTTTTTCACGCTCATTCTTTCACTATTGTACAATGGAATTTCCCAGAGGCTCCATGACATGTGATGATACTATATAATGGCATGTGCCAATAGTTGGAATATCTGCATAATTCAGTAACATGTCAAATTCATGTTATAAAACTACATGTGACTAAAAGAGCCATTCAAAGTGCAATAAATTTTGATGTCACAGAGTATAGCAAGTTCTTTGACATGGTTTCATATCACCTGTCAAATTTTAGTGTAACAGCAAAGATCCAGATATCTGAAAAACGTATTAAAATACTTCTCCTTTTTCAAAACATGCATCTAATGTGTAATACCAGATAACAGCATATCACAAAGACTGAATGCCGAAGTAGATAGAAAAACCCAGCTATCTTCTATTAAGCCAGGTATTAAAGAAGTTTGTAAAAATGCTCTATTCCTTATTAGTAATTTTTATTTTGGAAAATAGTTATTTCTTCATTAAAATGTTACTCATTAACATGTGATGGATTCATTCTTGTTACTTTTAAATGAATTCATAACTTTGTTTTCACTTTTCTCATGGAAAATATGGGCAAATACATATAAACAAAAGCTCTGTCTATAAATCTTAAGCATGTAAAAAGGAAATGAGAACCACTGCTCTAGTCAGACCAAACTGCTGTCATCTTGTACATATCACAAACCTTTAGCCTCCCATACTTTACATATGTTTTTATCTCTTGTCAATCTGCCTGGTTAACTCCTACTCAACATTCAGGTCTTGGCTTAAACACCACTACACCCATAGACCCTTCCCTGACAGTTCAGACGGGGTTAGGTGCTCCTTCCATGTACTCCTCCAGAGAAGTGGGTCCTAACTTATATTGTAAGCCATCCTGTAATGAGCTGCTTATTGGCATTTATTGTGTGCTAACATGTCCCCTTCCATGTGGGAGACCTGGGTTAGACTCTCTGTCGATGCACCCCGTACATGACCACCACCCATCAGTCAGTGGAGGCTTGCATCTTGCTAGGATACTGGACTGGTCTCAGTAAAGCTTCCATCCTAAAACACACTACAAAGAAAGGCTTGGTGATCTATTTTTAAAAATCTGCCAATGAAAACCTCATGGATCACAATGGTCGGATTGGCAACCCATCATGGGGATGGGGATGGCGCAGGATCACGCAACATTTTATTCTGTTGTGCATGGGGTCATCATGAGTCGGGGGCCAACTTGATGGCAGTGGCAAATTACCCACTAGAATTATCTGGAATAACATTTTTTTTACAGCTTACCTGACCTGCCCCCCCCACACACACACACAAGCCTATCACCTTGTCTGGCACATACAAGCATTGGTAAATACTGACTAAGTGAATAAGTAAATGCAACACTCATAACATCTTGTTGTTGCTGTGGAGTTGACTCTGACTTTATTTGTCAGAGCACAATTTTCAAAGCTGTGGCCTTTCGGAAGCAGATTACCCAGCTTGGCTTCCAAGATGTCTATCAATAGGTATGGGTTCAAACTACCAACTTTTCAGCTAGCAGTGAAGCACTTAACTCTTTGCAAGGATTCCATAACAACTAAAGTCAAAACCAAACCACTACCGTTGAGTCAATTCTGATTCCAACTCACAGCAACTGACTAAATACGGCAGAACAGAACTTCCGAGACCATAAATCTACAGGAGCAGAGAGCCTCATCTGTCTCCCACAGAGGGACTGAGGGTTTTGAACTGCCAACCTTGTGGCTAACTGTCCAAAGCTTAAGCCACTGTACCAACAAGGATTCTCCATAACAACTGTTGTTATTTGTTAGGTGCCCTCAAGTTGGTTCTGACTCATACACAACAGAAGGAAACACTGCACCTAGTCCTGCACTGTCTTCACAATTGTTACGTTTACGCCACTGTGTCAATAATAATAACTTATGAAGTATTGTTATTTTTACAAGAAAATGGAAGCTCAGACAAGTAATCTGTTCAAACAAAGTCACCTAGGCAATGTGACATGACAACTTGCACTTAAAAGTCTTTTTACCTCCAGATCCCTCATTCCCGGGAACAGGTGAAGCAGTTTACCTGGGAGCTAATAGCATACTTCAGGTAGGATAAGATGAGAGGGTTGGGGGAAGGTCCAATCATAGCCTGCTCCAACAGGGCTTCTGCAAAGGGAATAACAAAGACTGAATAGTGACAATTTTTCTCAGTGTATTCCTCCCCTTCTTCCTTCCCATTTCACTTCAAACCTGCCAGGTTGAGAATGTCCCAAGTGGCTCCTTTGGGAAAGAATTTCTTCATGTTGATTGCCCATTGGTAGTCACTCCATCGCTCCTTCCAGGCTTGCAAAATGGCTTGCTTTAGGTTTACGACCTTCATGATTTCACTCTGAGGAGGCGGAGCCGGTAGCCACCAGCTTTTAGGAAGGAAAAAAAAAAAAAAGCTACCGGAGGAGAGATGGGGGTCTGAGGAAAAGGACAAGAAAAGGTAGAGTTAAGTGGAATGGAGAAAACATGGGAAAAGGAACCAGAAGGGAAAAGGGGGGATGGGCAGGGTAAGGATCCTGTCAGTCTCTTCCCTGCAGAACCAAACTTCCTTGGGCCGAGGCACAAAGAGAATGTCAAGAGGTATCATTCAAGAACAGAGCAGCAAGGATTTAAACCAGTTCCAGCTGCCTAATTATTCCCTTCGCTTCGGTCGTATCTTTCGGCCGCCACCACCCCAAACCCAGATATTTCTCCCACCTTCCCTATTCCTAAAACTAGAATTCCCTGTTTCCTCTTCATCCACCACCTACCCAAATTTAAGCTTACCGGACAATCATGTTCTAGAGTTTAGATATCGCCATTTTGGCACTTGTCAAAGAGCTCGTTTTCTATTTGCTGAGAGTAGCAAACATAGACCAATAAGAACAGAGTAAGAGAGTCCCTGTCGCGATGTATTCTGGGAATTGTAGTTCCGTCGCCGGAATTCATTTGTCCGAACACCAGCAGCTCCTCGGAAACCCTGTCGCTATGAGTCGGAACCGACTGAAGGGCATTTAAAAACAACACCCAACACTTTGCCGTCCAGACTATTCTAACGTATACAAAGGAAGCTAAAGGATTAATTTAATCGGCCCGCATTAGTTTTCTTCTTTAAAAAAGGACATCTAGGAGCTGTAGTATCACAAGACTGTGGAAGGGCGGACGAATGGGTAGAGGTGGTGCGGGGGAAAGGCCTCCCCGTTAGGCGTAGCCCAATGACGTACTGTCGAATGAGCATTTAAATCCTATTCCGACACCCTTTCTTTACCCCTTATGTATTAGGCAAACCAAGTTGTCACGATTAGCAAATACGTTCTTTTCTGCCTTTTTCTGTTGTTGTTGTTGTTGTTGTTGTTCTCCTAAACCCCTAGGGAAAAGCCCTCGTAGTGCAGTGGTTAAAGCGCTCGGCTGCTATCTACAAAGTTGGCAGTTGGAACCCACCAACCCTCCCCCAGAAGAAAGAAGTGGCTGCTTCCATAAACAGTTCAACCTTGAAAGTGCTATAGGGGCATTTCTGTTTTCCCTATATGGTCTCTCTGAATCGGAAGCGACTCCTCAGCAGTGGATTTTGGTGGAACAGACATGGAAGCAACACAGATTTAGTTGGTTACACATACATTTACCCGGTAGAAAGATGAGGCTTTCTGCTTGCGTAAAGATTTACAGCCTCGGAAACCCTATACAGGGTCGCTATGAGTCGGAACCGACTCCACCGCACATAACCACCACCACACACATTTACCAGTTCATCCTCCAAATCTGTGAATTCTTCCAGAATCTATGGATCCTACATACTGCTTGAATGCAGAGAGAAATAAAGAGACCAGTAATGAAAATGCTCAGCTTTAGGTTATCAGAAACAGGGGAAGTTTGAGAAACTGTCACAGCTAAAATGGGTTAAAGAAACCTAACAACTAAATATAATGTATCTGGAACAAAAACAGAACAACAGGTAAAAACTAAGGAAATTTAAATAAAAAATGGTCTAAAAATGTTGTTGTTAGGTGTCATGGAGTTGGTTCCAATTCGTAATGACTGTATGCCATCTACACCACAGATGCTTCGCTTCAACCCACTGCTGCTACCACTCTGCCAATCCATCTCATTGAGTGTCTTCCTCTTTTTCACTGACCCTCCACTTTAATAATAATGATGTCCTTTAGGGATTGGTCCATCCTGATAACATGTCGGGAGCATTCGGGCTGCATCTCTTCCAAGACAGATCTGTTTGTTCTTCTGACAGTCTGTGATACTCTTTCTATTCTTCCCCAACACCTTAACTAAAATGCACCAATTCTTTTTCAGTTTTCCTTATTCACTGTCCAACATTCACATGCATATTAGGTTATTGAAAATGCCATGGCTTGGGTCAGACGCACCTTAGTCCTCAAACTGATACCTTTGCTCTTGAACACTTTATTTTCATTAAACTTTTTATTGTGAATTGAGTGAAGGTTTACAGACAACATATTCAGCTTTACATTCAACAAACACACATTTATTTCATCTCATTGATGACAATCCAATCTTCTCCTTGCAACCACAGTTATCCCACTTCCTCCCTGTGGTTCCCATTTACATCTTATATTTCATAAATGAACAAAGCAAAAATATTTCATGCACACAAATGAAAAATATATGTTCATTTAAATGTCCAAAGGGCACATTCTGCAAGCCAGCCTCCTGCCTACAGGCACACAGCCTTACTCAGTCCATGGACCTAGAGCCAGCAGCTGCTCTGTCTCTCCATGTCACTGCTTGTGCCACCGTCTCTGCTATTGCTGCTTTTCTAGGTAGGGATCTCACACGCCAATCATAATCTTCCTTCTTGATGGTCCTGGGATCATCTATTCCTGAAATGAAAGATTAACTTATCCCCACTTTTAGTTGCACATCTTCCACAATTACAGTTTTGACTATCACAATTAATCCTGCTAACAATAATTCACAATTGAATCATAAAATCCTATGACCAGCCCAGGAGACATCAAGGCAAGTGGTCGGGTCCTCTCAGTGCAAATCCTCTTCCAAGACTAAGACGCAATGGAAATACACGCTCTGATTGGCGACCACACATGTCACCCATAAGGGGAAATGACCGAAGAACATCAATGAAGCTGCGAGCTAAGCCCTACATCGTTCAGCAGACTACTGTGAACCCGGGTGGAGACCTGGTCAGCCAGCAGCGAGGCAAGACCTGGGGACTCATGGGCTCAGAGTCAATGACACAACCACAGAGGACTAGAGTGGAAAGCGAAGCAGCCAGCTGATAAGAAGAAGGCGGACAGACACAAGAACACCCACACTTGAAGATGATACCCACTTGACCTGGTTTCAATGACTGGATGAACAGAGCTCAACCCGAAGAAGAAAGAAGAGGAAAAAAGAGTCATCTGATACAATTTGATAAACTTGACCTACACCTATAAATGCAGTAGCTCAAAAGAGGAAACAAATCCCTGCTGCAAGAATTATTCCCACCCCCTCCACACA